ACCAGCCACCGACCAGCACGGACTTGGAGTGCAGCTGTGGGTACGGCACCAGCTGCGCCACGCAGTCTCGGCTGTCATGCCCCTCAACCCCAGATTGCTCAAGGCTCGGATGAAGACGGCGACGAGCGACGGCAACGGCACGGCCTCTCTCGGCATCGTCGTGGCCCATGAGGAGGCGGAAGCCTTCTGGGAGGAGCTGAAAACGGCGATCACCTCATTCCCGAAGTGCGTGCAGGTCATCGTCCTAGGGGACCTTAATGCGCAGATTGGGTCCCGCCCTGGGCCCAGCATCGGGGAGTACCAGTCAGCCCATGAAACGCCCAACGGCGAGAGGTTGCGCGAGCTCCTGTCTCGGACCGGCATGCTGGCAGTGAATACATGTTTCGATTGCCCGTAGCCCACTTTCACCAGATTTGGGAGGAGGGCCCGACTCGACTACATCCTGGTGACTGCGGACCTCTTCACCTCTGTGCGCAAGTGCGCCGTCCGCGGGGACGTCGACATGAGGCACGGCGTCGAAGAGGACCACTGGCCTGTTGAAGCCACCCTCAGCGAAGTGGCTGTCCGGAGGCCGGCCGCCCGGGCCACCGAGCGCGCCCAGATGGGACGCGCGCGCCCTCGCTGACGAGGAGAGGCGCCAACGCATGCAGCAGTTTCTCTGCGCCTCGGAAGCCGCCGACAGCACCGCCGACGTGGACACGCAGCTCGCGCACTTCAACGAGGTGCTCCTCGACGCGGCGGCAGCGGCAGGCATGGCCGCGCCGCCAGGCTCGCGGCCGCGACAACCATGGATCACGGAGTGGTCTTGGACCCTCATCCGGCGAGGGCACTCCCTCAAGCGCCATCTCCGTGAGGCAGCCCAGAGACTTTGGCGCCGTTCTGTGGCGGTCATCTTCGAGGTCTGGCGCGCTGCGCGGTGCCCAGAGCAGCTGGTTCCCCGTCGCCGCCGGGCAGCTCTGGCGGAGGCTGCCACGAGGCTATGCCTGCGTCGCCACACCCAGCAGCAGCGGGATAGTCTGCGCGCGGACCGTGCCTCGCAGCATGAGCGATTGGCAGCTGCTGCCGACGCTGCCGCGGGAAGCTGGCGATGTGGCATCTCTCTACAAAATTGCCCGGCGACTCGGGCCATATCGTGCGCGGACCGTCCCGATGGTCAAGGAGAAGGACGGCACGTTCGCTGTGACGCACGAGCGGGCCCTGGAGCGCTGGGAAGAGCACTTCGCGGAGCTGCTGGTGGGCACCATCGTGCAGGAGCCGCCCCCGCTGCCCGAGACCCCGCACCCAGAGCAGCCAGCATTCCACGTCACCTTAGCCGAAGTGCGAGCAGCAATGAATGCGCTCCCACACGGGAAACCCGCTGGCCCAGACCACGTCACTGCTGAGCTCCTGCGTGCAGGAGGCGAGCCGGTTGCCAGGGCTTTGCTGTGCCTCCTGGAGCGCGTTCTGTCCCTTGGACAGGTTCTCCGCGCGTGGCGAGGCGGGCGTCTCGTGCGGCTCTGGAAACAACAAGGCGATGCTGCCGAATGCGGTCAGTGACGAGGCCTTCTCGTTGGCCTACATACTGGCAAGCTCTTCACGGGGATACTCATGCCGCACGTTGCCGACTACGTCTTCAGAGCGCTCCCGCGCGAGCAGCACGGCTGCGTGCCGGGAAAGGGCACGGCCCGCGCAGCGCCTTTCTCACAGGCAGTCCTCGCGTACGCTGCTGCGCGGGACCTTCCCACCTCCCTTCTCTTTGTGGACCTCACCAAGGCTTTCGACAGGGTTGTGAAGGAGGCTATTTTCGGCATGAGCGGTATCGCACGTGAAGATCGGGTACAATACTTGCAACAGTTGGGACTCGCAGCGCACGCTGCAGAGCACATTGCGCACTATGTCGAACGCACCGGGGGTGGCATCGCAGCGGCTGGCGTGGCTGAGGGAGTAGCCAAGCTCCTCGAAAGCCTCCGCGAGGCCACGTGGTTTCAGCTGGACGGCAGTGCCAGACGCATTGAGACCAAGGCGGGCACCCTGCAGGGCTGCCGTTTCGGCGCTCTGCTCTTTAACTTGCGCTACGGGGCAACCATCAAGCGAGTCAGGGCTCGATTGGAGGAGGAGGGTCTCATCACGACAGTGCCCTTCAACCCTGGCGCAGTGCCATGGCAGCACGAGGTCACGGCCAACCTGCACGGAAGTGCGGAAAAGCAGTACAGCGTCTTCGACGCCACGTACGTTGACGACGAGGTTTTCGCTTTACTCGGCACGTCGCCAATGGACATGTGGCGCCGAGAGCACCGAGCGTTCCCGATCATCATCGAGGAGTTCGAAGCGGACGGGCTGGAGGTCAACTGGAACCCGGGCAAGACGGAAGCGATCTTTTCCTTCCGCGGGGCTGGGTCGCAAGCAGCCCGCAGGCGATTGCAGGCAGATGATTCAGGCCGCGACTTTCTCGAGTTCTCCGCGCCCACCCCGCCTGTGCCTGACCGGGTGATCAAGGTCTTGGTCGCGCGTGAGTACAAGCACGCAGGTGTGGTGGTGGCCGGCGGCGGAAGCCTGTTGCCGGCCGCCGAGGCGAGAGCGGCCGCGGCGCAGAAGGCGTGGTGCCCGCTCGCCAAGAAGTTCTTCTGTGCAGGGGTGATATCACGAGATGCACGCATGCGTATGCTCCGGAGCCTGATCCTCTCCGTGCTGTTGTCCGGCACCGAGACGTGGGCGCCGCCGGAGAACCGAGAGTTATACGACGGCATGCGCGAAGCACTGCGCCGCATGGAGCAATTCATGAAGGCCTTGCGGCGGATTGGCAACTTCCCTCGCGACGGCCGCAGCCCGGGCGAGCACAACCTCACGGACAGACAGGTACGCGAGCTTTTCGGAGTCAGCAGCTTGGAGACGATGTTCCAGCAGCGCCGCCTGTCGTACCTCTTTCAGCTCGTCTGCCTCCCGTACCCTGGGCTCTTAGCTTTGCTTTGGCCGGCCGGGAAGAAAGCGCTGCCATGGGCGAAGCTGGCGGCCTGCGACTTGGCATGGCTCGCCAGCCTCCAACCAGGACTGGGAGGGCTCGGACCGCCCTGCGTGCAGTGGCGGAGTTGGCAAGCATCGATTTCTTGCCACACGGGGTGGTGGAAGCAGCTGGTGAGGCAATCGCAGTGTTTCGAGAGCTCCCTTCCGGCTGCCGGCGTCGTGGTTTGCGATCTCACCGCCGTCGGAGCCGACGTGCCGCCTGGCCTTCGATGTCCATTGTGTCCAAGTGAGGCGTGCCGCATCCTAGACTCGCCGAAGGCGCTGTCGGTCCATATGCACCGCTGCCACGGCCACGTGCGGCAACCCAGGAAGCATGTCATCGGCACGTGCTGCCCGGCATGCGGAACAGATTTTCACGTGCGCGCGCGGGCGGTGCATCATTTGCAACATTCTTCCAGGCAGTGCAAACAGATGATGATCGATGGAACCCTGCAGGTATATAGCGACCGGCCATCCAGGCGGCCGAAGAGCAGGCCAAGACGGTCCGAGCATCCACTGACTACCGCCGGTTGTGCAAGATGAGGTGCCGCCCGCCTCAGAGAGCGTAGGGCGTGAATGTCGAGAATTGAATGCATGATTCCTGAGTTGTCGCACTGGTGTGCGATGTGGTCACTCGATCGCTCCTCCTCCTCCTCCTCCTCTTCCTCCTCCACCTCCTCCTTCTCCTCCTCCTCCTCCTCCTCCTCCTCCTCCTCCTCCTCCTCCTCCTCCTCCTCCTCCCCCTCCCCCTCCCCCTCCCCCTCCTCCACCTCCTTCCCCCTCCCACTTATGGTGGTGGTGGTGGTGGTGGAAAACAGGCCCATTAGAGGGGGGGGGGCGGCGGCTGCAGACAGGGGGTCCCTTCAGGGCCCCCCCAAAGGGGCCCTTCAGGGCCCAGGGCCAGACCTTTGTTCTTCCCCCCCAATGTATTCCCCCCCCCCCATTGAGCGACGCCCACTCAGCGACGCCCAATGTTGGGACGGGCGGACCTCTGGCCATGCAGATGTACACGGCCGCGAGCCCCCCCCAGGTTGCCACCGCTCAGACTGTCATCGGGCGTCGCGTACAGTCGACCCGAGGTAGAAGATCGAGGTCGGCTTGGGGAGGGTAGTCTAGTGTGCTTCGTGTTTGTTGGATGCTCTCGTGCATCCTGAGGGAGGTACCCTCGAATGTTTTTCAGTTTTGGCCAGCAGAGGGTCTCACGTTCTTGAGGGATGTTCTTCTGGCCTGGGTCCGACAGTGCGCGGTCGCGCGCTCTCCAGTTGCGACAGTTTAGATTTGCCGCCGGGCGTCGCGTAACAGCTCGAGCTCCCAAGTGTTCCCTGGAAGAGCATCTGGCCGAGGGCGTTGGGCATTGGCCTCGAGAGTGGTAGGCCCCTAGAGTTAGAGAGCCCAGCCTGAGTGTCATTTGGGAGCTTACCTGCCTTAGCGTATCGGGGCAGCTAAGTGTGGGAGCGCTTTGGCGTCGCGTGATGGGGGGGGCGATAAACAAGGGGGCGGCAGCGAGGGCTGCAGGGAAGCGGTCCTTCCGGGCCCCTCAAGGGGCACTGTGGGGCCCACAAGGTTGCCTCTAGGGTTAAGTCGGACCTGTCCCTCACAGTGAAACATATCTAAAAATAATCCCAAAATAGTCGGGGGACAATTGTTTGACTATTTGTGGCTATGCTTGAGCATTTTTTGCGTATTTTTCATTTTTCGTCCAACTTCCGCCTGTAGGAGGACACGCCCGACCTAATTTTAGGGCCCGAAGAGTGCACCTTTCCTTCCCCCTCCCATTTTATAGCCCCTTCCCCATTGAGAGACGCCCAGTTTCACCACGTGTCGTGGGCAACTTTCTCGCACGTTTCCCAGGTCTCACCCATGGCGCCGATGCAATGTTTAGAGGGATTCTTGTCGCTCTCTGTTGGTGGCCACCTTTCCCATGGACCGTCTGCCACGCATAGCGGTGGTCTCGCACAAGCTGCCGTCGTTCTCCTCCCCCTCTGAGTACGTGCCGGGTCGCGCGTGCGCGCTAAGGATTCAGATGGAGTTCGACTGCGAGTTCGCCCAGATCGCAGCCAGCAGGCCATCGGGATTAGGGCCCTGCCGAGGAGGACGATAGCGACAGCGACGACCACGAGGCGGATGATAGTGAGGGGATGATGCTGTTGATGGCGGTAGGAACCACGTCTACATTTCGAGTACGTTCGGGCTTCACGTTCAGGAGTTGTCGATTTCCGTCCGTCGTCTTCGTCATGTTTCTCGAATGTCCAGCCTTTCGCCCCAGTGTGATCTCAGCAGCTCGGCGGTGCAGCGTGGTCCTCGCCCCCCCTCGAAAGGACGCGCCACGAACTGCTGATAGGCATCCCCCAGCGTCCATGTCTCACAGTCAATGCATGTTCCGAGCTTGCGATCCAGGGGTGTTGGGCCCCTATGATTTGTTCGCTCGGTTGATGCCCCCTAGCCTCACATCTGCACTCTCATGATGATGTGGATGTTTTTGAAGATAAGGATGATGAGGATGAGGATGATGCTGATGACGATGATGGTGCTGATGATGGTGGTTGTGATGATGCTCATGATGATGATGATACTAATGATGATGATGCTGATGCTGATGCTGATGATGCTGCTGATGATGATGCTGATGATGATGCTGATGATGATGGTGATGATGATGATGATGATGATGATGATGGTGGTGTGGCTGTTGCTGCTGGTGCTGCTATTACTGCTGGTGATGATGCTGATGATGGTGGTGTTGCTGTTGCTGCTACTGATGATGATGGTGATTATCATGATGATGCTGATGCTGATGCTGGTGATGATGAGGATGCTGATGATGATCATGATGATACTGATGATCACGATGATCATGATTATCATGCTGATGATGTTGATGATGATGATTAGATGGTGGTGATGGTGATGATGGTGATGATGGTGATGATGGTGATGATGGTGATGGTGATGATGATGATGATGATGATGATGATGATGATGATGATGATGATGATGATGATGATGATGATGATGATTATGATTATGATTATGCTGTTGCTGCTGATGATGATGGCGACGTTGATGCTGCTGCTGCTAATGCTGATGAGCTGTGTGAAGGGGGAGAACACAGGAAGATGAGCAAGGAGGAGACAGAAGGATGGCCAGCCTGGGATTGCCCAGGATGCTTGCCTGGCTGCGGGACGCCCCCGTGGAGCCGCTGGCTCCGCCATGGCCGCGGGCGGCGAGGCGAGAGAAGGTATGAGGGGAAGTTCAGAAGAGGAGGACGAGAGAGAGAGAGAGAGAGAGGGACAGAGAGGGACAGAGAGACAGAGAGGGACAGAGAGGGGAGAGGAGAGAGAGGGACAGAGAGAGAGGGACCGATAGAGAGAGAAGGTATGAGGTGAAGGTCGGAAGAGGAGGACGAGAGAGAGAGAGAGGGACAGAGAAAGAGTAATGTGAAGAGGAGCAGCAGGAGGCCGACGAGCAGTATCGGACGTGGTCAGGACGATGATCAAATCCGTTCCAGAGCGTTCCGCGACGCTCTCAGAGCGTTCCGGAACGCTCCGGGAAGGCCGCTGCGCCCGAGACATCCTCCAGAGTCGCCAGATCGCGGAGATTCTCGATGTATCCTCACCGGATTTGTTCCTCGTCCCCTCCCCCCCTCATTGCGTCGACCTAACGATTTGACCAGCGCAGGGCTCCAGGCTGCCATGCTGCTTATCTCGAGGGTGGCACAGGCCAGACACCGCTGGCAGTCCTGTCCCCTCCCCACCCGTTGGGGGGCTGGCATATGGAGTCCTCGTCGCCTTCCTCCCCGTGCTCCTCGCCTTCTTCTCCGCTCCTGCTGCTCCTCCCGTCATCCTTGGGGAGGGGGAGGGGGAGATGGAAGAGGGAGGTCGGGTCGAGGTTGAGAAGATGGAGGAGGAGGAGGACGAGGAGGAGGAGGAGGAGGAGGAGGAGGAGGGAGGATGCGGAACGCTGCAATCCGAGGGTTCAAGCTGGGCCAGCGTCGAAGAGGAGAGGAGGAGGGCGAGGACGAGGGCAGCGACGAGGAACGGGAGACGATGAGAAGGATGAGGAGGAGGAGAAGATGGAGGAGGAGGAGGAGGAGGAGGAGGAGGAGGAGGGAAGATGCGAAACGCTGCAATCCGAGGTTTCAAGTTGGGCCAGCGTCGAAGAGGAGAAAGGGGAGGGCGAGGACGAGGACAGCGACGAGGAACGGGAGACGATGCGAAGGATGAGGAGGAGGAGGATGAGGAGGAGGAAGAGGAGGAGGAGGAAGAAGAAGAGGAGGAGGAGGAGGAAGATGAGGAGGAGGAAGAAGAAGAAGGAGGAGGAGGAGGAAGATGAGGAGGAGGAGGAAGAAGAAGAAGGAGGAGGAGGAGGAGAAGGAGGAGGAGGAAGAAGAAGGAGAGCGACAAACGAGCAGGACGCAGTGGGGTGCAATGTGAGCGGACGGATTGGGAGGGAGCGGGATGAGGCGGGATCCCCAGGCCGCTAACCTCTACAGTAGTTCGAGTCGATGGCATTCGAGTTGTTTCGCACTGGCTACTCTGCTCACAGCCCCTCGCAAGGCACGTGCGATGGAAGTCCACAAACTACAGAAGATGTGAAGGCCGACGACTGGCCTGCGACCCCGCCGCGTCTGACCGCAGCAGGCTCGGTGGTTTTGCCCCCCGCATCTCTGGACGCGAGATCCGCCCAGTCCAGATTCCCCAGTCCCAGATTCCTCCCCCTCGTCCTCCTCCTCCTCCGCCTCCTCCTCCTCCGCCTCCTCCCTCCCCATCTTCCCCATCTCTCCGGCTCAGGCCTCCCGGATGGGGTCCGAGTAGATGGGGCCAGAGGATTGCGCGCATCGCCGATGCGGCTCGATGTGGAGACCGCGTTTCCCCACGCCGACGTCGCCGATGCATCGCCGACGTCGCCGATGCATCACCACTGGGAATGCACTAGCGATGCGGTGCGATCCTTCGGCCCCATCTGCTCCAGAAGTCCTCTGAGGGAGAGGTGTTCTGCGGCCCCTTCGCGCCCAGAGGCTTCCGCAGCCAGTGTCCGACGGTGTCCTCGGCATGGTGCAGCCTCAGCTCTTCGAGGCCGCCACGCCTCTCGTCAGCCTCCTCCTCCTCCTCAAGGGCGCCCTCGGGGGCGCGAAGTTAACTATTCGCGCTTCGCGGTTCTACTCTGATTCCTCCTCATCCTTCTTTTCTCCTCCAGGGGGCGGCGCGAGAGCGTGAAGTTATTCGCGCTTCGCGCAGCGAGAAGCGCGAAGTAAGGAGCCCTTGCCTCCTCCTCCTCCTCATCCTGCTCCTCTTGATCCGGCTCCGTCTCATCCCCGCTCCCTTCGGCGGCGGTAAATCGGGGGAGGGGCGGCGAGGGCCGCCGAAAAAGGGCTCTTCCCAGGGCCCCAGAAGAGGCCCCTTAGAGCCCAGCAGGGGGCTCTCAGGGCCCTCCCCCCAGTGATCGATTCGCGCCCGGTTCTCCTCCGCCGTCGCCTTCCCTCCGCCAGGCCTCCACAGGGCCGCAGGACGCGCGGCCTCCCCGCCATTTCAGGGTTGCAGCCCTTGCTCGTCCCCCCTCCTCCTCCTCCTCCTCCTCCTCCTCCTCCTCCTCCTCCTCCTCCTCCTCCTCCTCCTCCTCCTCCTCCTCCTACTCCTCCTCCCCCCCCCTCCTCCCCCCTCCCAGACATGATCGAGTCGTAAGGAAGATCATGACGGGAGGTTTCCGGCCATGGTCGGCCTCCGGGGGGACCTCGCGGAGCCCTGGGGCCGTCAAAAGGCCCCTCAGGATGGAAGGCCGGTCGCGGGGAGAGGGTCGGGACTTCCGGGGACCGCGAATCAGAGCCCCGAATCATCAGGGGTAACTCGGGTCAGGGATAATTCGGGTTCGTTTTTCGGGAATCCGAACCCGAGTTACCCCGGACCCGAGTTACCCCGGATAACTCGGGCGTCCAGAGCCCCGAATCATCAGGTGTAACTCGGGTCAGGGATAACTCGGGTTCGTTTTCCGGGAATCCAAACCCGAGTTACCCCGGACCCGAGTTACCCCGGATAATTCGGGCGCCCAAGCGAATGGGAACAAGTCAGGACGTCGCATGCTTGGGCTCGCTCTTGCTTGCCACGCTGGCTGAAGGCATGCGCTGTTCTCCGACGTGTCAGGCAACCATGACCACGCTGGCTGAGGGGATGCCGGCCACGCGCAGAGGGGAGAAGGGGGAAGAGGGAAGGCTTCTTAGAAGCACCCCTGCTTCTTAGAAGCGCGGGCCTTCTCTATCGATGGAAGGCCCGCGCCTTCCCCCTCCCCCCATTCCCTTGTGCGCGCCGCCAATGGGTTGTTCTCCCACGTGTCAGCCAGACTTTCTCACCAAGAGGGAGCTCGGCTCGGCCGTTGTACCGCACAGCGCATTGCGTTCGTCATTTCATTGAGGAGCCGAGGGGAGGAGAGGATCGTGGGAAGGGAGGGGAGGAGGAAGGGGAGGGCAGGAACAACGCATTGCGCACGCCATTGCATTGAGGGACCAGGGGGAGGGGAGGATTCCAACAGGCCGAGAGGGGGGCGAGGAACGCCCATTGACGAGTAGCGGCATCAATCTGAGGAGAGTACGGATGAGGGCGGGGTTGAGGCATGGCTTTTGAGCATCGGCGTTCTTTCTCTAGTGGCCAGGGGACAGGAGAAGTGACGGAGAAGTGACAATTGCAAGACTAGTAAGACGAGGTGAAGAACAGGGACGAAGGCGAGAAGCAGGGGGATGGGAGGAGGAAAAAGAACAGGAGGTAGGAGAGCAATGGACGAGTACTAGCCAGCCGCTCTGCGGTTGGTCGGGAGTTTCTCCAGGGGCGTGTGTTCGTGTGCGAGATATGAGATTGAGCGGGAGGCCTTGGTGCTGCGGGTGAGGATGAGGATGGTGAGAATCAGGAGGGCGAGGCTCGCCCTCCTGATCCTCACCACCTCATCCAACTCTCCTCCTCCGCCTCCTGCTCCTCCTTCTCCTTCTCCTCCTCCTCCTCCTCCTCCTCCTCCTCCTCCTCCTCTCCCTCCTCCGCCTCATCCTCCTCCTCCTCCTCCCCTCCTCCTGCCTCTTCCTCCTCATCCTCCTCCTCAACTTTTTCCTACTTCTCCTCCTCCTCCTCCTCCTCCTGCCTCCTCCTCCTCCTCCTCCTCAACTTCATCCTCCTCCTCATCCTCCTCCTCCTTTCCTCCTCCTCCTCCTCCTCCTCCTCCTTTTCCTCTTCATCCTCCCCTACTCCTGCCTCATCCCCCACTCCGTCCTTCTATGTCTTCCTCCCTGCTCGTCCTCGTCATCGATCTTGGGGACGTCTCTCGGGGGGCGATTTGACGACTTTGCGAGGATGTCTCGAGCGGCAGCCTCAGATTGGGACACGCCCGGGTCGACTTTTGCGAGGATGTCTCGAGCGAGAGCCCCGGTTTGGGACACGCCCGGTGCGCCCCAGCGCGCGTCGGAGGGCCTCCTTGGGGAGGCTCGGAATGCCGGTTGTTTGAGGATGTCCCAAGCGAGGGCGCTGTTTTGAAATTCGTCGGCGACTTTCCCGGATTTCCCAGAATCGGAACGGGGGCGGGCTCCTGAGGGCCTCCTTGGGGAGGCTCGGAAGACCAGTTTTCTGAGGATGTCCCACGCGAGTGCGCCCGTTTGGACTTCGTCGCTCCATTTCCCTGGTTTCCCAGATGTCCCGGAAATTGTTTGAAACGGAACAAGGGGGCGGTTGGTGGGCCCATTCCTTCGCGCTCTGGGGGTCAGGACGACATGAGTTCTCGAGACAGAGTCCTTCAAACGAGAACGTGGAGGAGGAGAAGGAGATGAGGAGGAGGACGAGGAGGAGGAGGAGGAGATCAGAAGTAGGAAGAGGACTAATGTCCAAAACCTGTCAAAAAGATGATGACCCCCCCCTCCCCCCCCCGGAGCACGACTGCCATTAATTCGATACCAAAAAACTATTTATTTAATTGCCCCCTGGGAAAACACTCCACGGGGGCCTCACGATGCGATTGAGAAATGCACACATGATGTTTGTATACATATATGCGTAAACACACGCACGCACGCGCATGAATTGGTATATGCGCATAAAGTGCATGCGGTCGACGAGTGAGTAGTTTTCATCTTGCTGGGACAATGTACGTACGTACGCACGCGACTACGCGCGCGTGCGCGCGGTGGCGTCCAGTTCTCGCGCGCGGTGTGAGGCTGATTGGCCTTGTGTTGGCTCCCAGAATCCTAAATTTACACGTGGTTTTTCTCACGCGGTTTCGGGGGTGACACGTGTCACCGGTTGTTTTTGTGAGGCTGTATGGCCTTATGTTGGTTGGCTCCCAGAATCCCGAATGAACAATTGGATTTTCACATGGGCTCGTGGGTGACACGTGCGACCCTTGGTTATTGTGAGGCTGAATGGCGTTTTGTTGGCTCCGAGAATCCCAAATTTACAAGTGGTTATTCTTTTGCGGTTTCGGGGATGACACGTGTCGTCCGATGTTGCTTGTGAAGTTGAATGGCCTTATGTTGGCCCCGGGGGGAGGCGCGCGTCACTGGTTTGTCTTTTTGAGGCTGCATGGCTTTACATGTTGATTCCTAATTTCCCACATTAACATTTGTCTTTTCTCACGCGGTCTCGGGGGTGGCACGTGTCACCCGTTGCTTTTGCGAGGCTGAATGTCTTTCTGCTGGTTCCCAGAATCCCAAATTTTCATGTGGTTTTTCTCACGCGGTGTTCTCACACGGTTTCGGGGGTGACACGGGCTACCCGATGTTTTTTTTGTTTGTCAGGCTGAACGGCCTTGTTGGTTCCCAGCCTTATGCTGGCCTTCAGAATCCCAAATTGACACATGGTTTTCCCATGCGGTTTCAAAGATGGTGCGTGTCACCCGCTGGGTTGTGCGAGGCTGAATGACCTCATGTTGGCTTCCAGAATCCAAACATTCCTTTTGTTTTTTTCTCACACGGTTTCGGTGGTGGCGCGTGACGCTCGTTGTAGTTGCGCGGCTGAATGTACTGATGTTGGCACGCGGGATCCCACACATTAAAATTGTTTTCTCCACGCGGTTTCGGGGGAGCCACGTGTAACCCGCTGTTTGTTCGCTGCTGTGGAGCTCAATGGCCTTCTCTTGGCTTTCAGAATCGCGAATTTACAGGCGTTTCCTCACAATGTTTCGGGGGTGACACGTGTCGCCCGTTGTTTTTGTGAAACAGACTGGCCTTTTGTCGGCTTCCAGAGAATCCCAGGTTGACAATTGTTTTCTCACGGTTTCGGGGGTGACACGTGTCACCGGTTGTTGTTGTTGTGAGGTTTATCGGTTGAACGCCCAGAATGCCATCTCTACATTTGGTTTTCTCTCACACGGTTTGGGGGGTGGCACGTGTCGCTCGTTGTTGTCGCGCGGTTGTATGGCCTTATGTTGGCTCCTGGAATGTCAGATTTACAGTTGTTTTTTTCTCACGTGGTTTCGGGTGTGACACGTGCCACCCTTTGATTTGGCATGACGCAAACTGGACTCATGCTGTTTCCCAGGATCCTAAATTTACAGCTGGTTTTTCTCACGGTTTCGGGGGTGACACGTGTCCACCGTTGGTTTTGTGAGGTTGGATGGCGTTTTGTTGGTCCCCAGAATCCCAAATGTACCATCTGTTTTCTCTCACGCGGTTTCGGGAGCGACACGTGTGACCCACTGTTCATGTGAGGTTGTATGGTCTTATGCTGTGTCCGAGAATGCTAAACTTACGCATGGCTGGAATTATGTTGGCTCCCAGAATCCCAAACATCATGTGTTTTTGTCTCACACGGTTTCGGGGGTGACACATGCCACCCTTTCTCTTAGCAAGGTGAATGTTTTTATGCTTGCTTCTAGAATCCAAGATTTTCAATAGGTTGGTTGTTCTAATGTGTTGGCTCCCGGAATCCAGATTTAAAATTGTCGTTTCTCTCAGGGTTTCGGGGGTGACACGTAGTTTTTCTGGTTGAATGGTTGTTCTGATGGCTCCCAGCATCCCAAAGTTAGAACTTGTTTTTCTCACGCGGTTTCGGGGATGACACCTGTCACCCGTTGTTTTGTGAGGTTGAATGGCCTTATGTTGGCTCCCAGCATCCTCAATTTACATGTGTTTCGGGAGTGGCACGTGTCGCTCGTTGTTTTTGCGCGGCTGCATGGCTTGATGTTGGCTCTTGGAATATTGAATTTGCAAGTGCTATTTTTCTAACGCGGTTTCGAGGGTGACACGTGTCATCTTCTGTTTTGGCATGAAGCTGAATGGCTTTATGTTGGCTCCCAGGATCCCAAATTTACAGCTGTTTTTTCTCAAATGGTTTCGAGGGTCATTTTCTTGGCTCCCAGAATCCCAAATTTACGATTTGTGTTTCTCACGCTGTTTCGGAGGTGACACGTGTGACCCGCTGATTTTGTGAGGTTGAATGGACTTATGTTAGTTGGCTCCCAGAATCCCAAGTTCGCAGGGCGTGGCCGGCGTGGCCTGACGCCAAGAGGGGTGCGCAGGATTCCGCCCGTGCATGCGGAACGCCAGGGCGATCGCGGGGACGTCCCCGGCGGTCCAGTTTGCCCCGCCTTCGTTTTGTTTTTTCTTTTTTGCGAACTACAGCGGTGGGAATATACTTGTTTTAATTGTCCCCCCCCTTATCGATGTTTATAACAGTGTTTAGACATTATACGGTGGAGATCGTTAAATGGCCACGACGCGCGCGTGTCGGGGTATGTGCCGAAATGGCGCGGGTCACCAATGCACCCGGCCAGTGGGGCCTTCGGTGGAGTTTTCTGTAGGGCCACGGGACGTGTCAGATGTGTGCCGAAATAGGGTGTATCACCATGCGAACCCTGCCATTAGGGCTTTGTCAAGCTCCATCTGCGGCCACGAAACGTGTGTGTGATGGGGTGTACCGCACTTCGGCGGGCCACCATGCGAATCCTTCCACGGGGGTCTCCAGGAGAGTTCCCTATGTGGCCACCATGCCTTTGGGAGGTGAGCCGACATGGGGTGGTTGACCATGCGACACCGGCGATTGAGGCTTTCGGTAGAGCCTTATGGGGGCCACGAAACGCGTTAGGTGTGTGTGTGTGTGTGTGTGTGTCTGTGTGTGTGTGTCTGTGTCTGTGTCTGTGTCTGTGTCTGTGTCTGTGTCTGTGTCTGTGTCCGTGTCTGTGTCTGTGTCTGTGTCTGTGTCCGTGTCTGTGTCTGTGTCTGTGTCTGTGTCTGTGTGTGTGTGTCTGTGTCTGTGTGTGTGCGTGTGTGCGTGCGTCTGCCGTTACAGTGATGAGGAGGAAAATGGTGGTGGCATCGATGAGGGTGATGATGATGGTGACGATGATTGTGACCGCGACGATGACCACAACTATTATGTCGCACCCCGCAGTTGTGGACAAGAGTGAGGGGGCGGGCGCGGGGTGGGTCGAGGGTGGGTCGCGGGTTGGTCGCGGGTGGGTCGTGGGCGGGTCGCGGGGTGGGTCGCAGGCCGGGTCGCGGCTGGATCGCGGGTGAGTCGTGGGCGCATTTGGGCAGTCTTGGGGATGGCTTCTTGGACTAGAACGTCGAATGGGCCGAGCGCATATCCAGGCGTGCCCAGAAGCGCGCGCTAAGGCAGTCATTCCATTTGTTTCAAGCTTGGATAGTCGACGACACCAAGCAGGGTCATATTTTTCGCAGTTTACGATAAGAGCCCATCGCCAGTGACGAAACGCACTACGGCGGGCAAGTTTTTTTGTCATCCGAGAGATGTGATCGACGCCAAGGCCGAGAAATATCATCAGCTTGGGCTAACCAGCCTGTTTTTCAGCGCCACGTTTTGGAAATGCCCGGTAAAATCAGAGAGGCGGCCTCCACTGAATAGCTGCCTGAGTTGACTGGCCGGGGCCTCCGTGAGGCCTTAAGAAGATGCGGTTTTCAGCAGGCATTGGCTTAGATCAGTTCGCGCCGCTCGGCTTCGAGCGGCTGCCCGATATCGCGCCCCAGTCTCTATGCCATCTGCGCACGTATTGTGAGCATGCGTTCGCGTGGCCGTGGCAACTACTGGTGGTGTTGGGGAGGTTATTGGCAAAGAAATCGGGAGGAGGCAGGGCGGTTGGGCTGATATGCGTGGTTTGCCCCGTTTGGTCGCTTGCTCGAGACAGCTTCTCAAAGCAGTGGTCACGGCAAACTACGCCAGCTTGGAATGCAGCTACATGGGGTAGTTCAGCCCTGCAGGAAGCCGTCCGCAGGGTCCGCGGTCCCGAGGGTTGCGAGCGCTAAGCTATTTTAGTCACGCAGGCTGTTTTAGATACCAGCGGGTTTCACGATTCTAGCAGATGGGGCACATAGGTGAATAATGCATTGAGGTTCGACCTCCCAGCTGGTATTTTGGCATTCGAGCTGCAGCGGCGCATGGCACCTCGTATGCTCAGCCAGAACGGAGCCAACAGCATCGCGCTTCAGCGCGCCAAATCGATCGCCCATGGGGCTTCGCAATGGCGCTCGTTTCGCTCGGTGTCCCACGTCTATTTGGGGTGGAAAAAGGTGGCCCATGTCCTGCTTTCAGTTATTCAACGGTTTTGGATCGACGAGCTAATGATCCAGATTCTGGGGTTCACGAAGTCTGTAAGCAAGCCCACGGTCGACGCCATTCAGACTGTGTCCGACGAGATGCAGGCAGACAGCTTACAATTCGCAGACAAGAGTTAAGTTCAGTGCATTCAGCCGCCAGGCAGATCGCTTCGCGACTGAAGCGCGGTGGAGTTAAGACCACGGCGGCCTTCCAGGCTCAGCATTTGGGCATTGACTTGGCAGGAGGAGGGAGAGAGGCGAGGAGGGCCAGGCGGCGCAGGGTTGCCATGGGGACGACGCAGCATCTCCCTCGCAAGGACTACGCCAGAGCTGCACGAAGGCACTTGGTCACCAAGAAGATTGAGCTAACGTGGCCACGAGCTTGTTCAAGCTATGGGATGGAAATACATGGAACGTGTGGAGGGCAGCTTCAGCAATTACGGAAACGAGTGGGCGTTGTCTCAGACTCGGACAAGAGAGGCAAGTGCCTCGCGATGTTGCTGGATACTCGCACGCCAAAGCGTGACCCAGACATTGCGCTCCCCGCTGCTTGGATTCGCACCTGGCTTGATTGTTGGATGCGTTTTCGGTTTTCTCACGCTGGAGTGTTCAAAGCGTGGCAGCGCTGTTCGCGGGGATCTTGAAGCTTTACTCCCGAACAGAAGATCCGGGCATGTTCGAAGCCCGTCGCCGGCCGCCATTGCGCATTTTCTGGTGGTATGTTGGGCCCCCGTCGCGCCAAGCGATTGGATGGGGGCCGATTGATCGCGAGTTGCTTGGGGATTTGTATCGCTTTCCGTCGACGTCCCTGCAGGGGGCCTGGAGTCCGTTGAGGAAGCTAGAGGGTTGCTGAAGAATTTCCAGGAGACTTTAGCATCAGCAGTGGGCAAACCGAAACTCACCTCTGCGGGCCAGGCATTGCGGGAGGCGTAGAGAACCTATCGCTACGTGCGCTGGCGCGACAGCGCGAGGGCGCTAAGCGCGGCAGACAGCTCGCGGAGACTCGCCTGCGTCGCCGCAGGATTGGTCTGCCACCAGAGCAACAATTGAGCACTCTCCAATATTTGGTAAGAGATGATTGATATTTTATGTGCTAAATTCATAGGCTGCTCCTTCTCCTCCTCCTTCCACTATTTCTCCCTTTTCCTCCTCCTTCTCCTCCTCCTACCCCTCCTCGTTATCCTCCTCCTTCTCCTTCTCCTCCTCGCTCCTCCTTCCCCTCCACGTCCTCCTCATGAAACCGCGCTCTCGCGCGCGCGGAGTGCGAGATTGCCGCGCCCGCATCCCGGTCATGTATATCGCAAGGAAGTTGTACGAGTTCCCGGCGGTCACCGAGGTTGACGGTTTACAGCCGGCTCCCAGTATGCATGAAAATCTGAGTTCTAGTCTGCTGGCTGCGGGACCGCAAGTTTCATTCATGATGCGTTGCTTCGAATGCTTGCGCCAGATGCAAGCTCGAAGGTAGGTAGAGAAGACACCTCTGGAATTCCTGAGCGTCGCCATCGGATGTGCCCCGGCAATTCTCCCAGTCTAGCATCAATTGGATCTGACGCCTTGGTTCCATGAGCTTTGGCGCGGGGATAAGCAGAGGCGCGCTTCTGGCATCGCGGGCTGCCGCCGGCTGCGCAGGCCGCCGCCCCGCCCGCGCGCGGGCGCCGGCGCTTCGCAGATCTCTTCGCGGAGCAGCTGGGGGCAGGCGCCCTGGGCCAGGGCGCGCCAGAGGCTCTCCTTTTTTGTTCGGCGATGCTTCGGCCGGGGGAATTATGGCCATCCTGGCGGAGAGTTCGGAAGCGTTTGGAGATATATTGGCCATCTGTTGAAGACTCGCATCGTTTCCGCGGTGGCGTTAAAAGTTGCGTCGCAGGTCAAGGTCATTGACGGGCGCCCGCGTTTCCCCTACTGGATGACCGCAGGTAGCGGGGCGGCTGATGTCATCGCAGGAGAGGCTTCGCGCTTCGCCGGGGCGCATGGAGTTGAATTTTCAAAGGCGGCTCAGGCTGAGCACGCAGCCAGGCCCATTCGTCGCGGACTCACGAGATCCACCTTGGCCGCCCTGGAAGCTTCCAGTCGTCTCGGGAGGGCGGGGGGGGGGGCTTTCGACAGCGGGCCCATGCGCGTCGTTGATGCCCCCCCGCCCCCCCCACCCCCCCAGCCGCTGCCGTTGCCCTTTTCGCCGGCGCCCACCAGTTGGACCAGGGGGGCTTGCAGCGTGCGAGATGCAGGCGTTCGGCCACCGCCGCGGCCAGGACATCTCGGCCCTCTTCTTTCTGCTCCGCCTTGGAGGGGGCAGGTCGCGCGCCCAAGGCCCCCGCAGGGTTTCGAGGTCCGCGTCGAGAGGGGGGCCCACAGCTCTCAGAAGAAGGTTATTCCCTGGATTTTAACGCTTGGGTCTGCGGTGATATTTTTTCTGAGGAGCTCGTTTTGAAGGGCCTGGCGAAGCCATGTGATCCCGTCCGCGTGTCCACGAAGCGGCGCGAGTTCCTGGGCCGCTTTTGCGTCTAAAAAGCTTATATATGTGACTCCGTCACTGATCCCATTTCCCTTCCGATTCTTCCGCAGTTCGCATGCGTTTCTCCCGCCCAATGCAACATTTCGTCGCCCCAGAGGGAGCTCCACCGAATGTCCCATTGGCGCAGTTCGCGCGCGACCCCCCCGTCGAGAACATCGCTTCATGGCCCCAAAGGGACTGCCAGCGAAGGTCCCAGCGGCGCACTTCGCATGCGCCCCCCCCCCCCCCGGCCACGCGCAGCGCCCCGTGGCCCCAGAAGGGGGCTCCACCGAAGGTGCCAATGGCGCAGTTCGCATGCCCCCCCCCCCGCCTGGTACAGCGCTTCGTGGCCCCAGAGGAAGTTCCACCGAAAATGCCAGCGGCGCAGTTCGCATGCGCCCCCCCCGCCCAGTACAGCGCTTCGTGCCCCCAGGGGGAGCTCTACCGAAGGCGCCAGTGGCGCAGTTCGCATGCGTCCCCCCCGCCCAGCACAGCGCTCCCAGAAGGGAGCTCCACCGAAGGTGACAGTGCGCAGTTCGCATGCGCCCCCCCCCCCGCCCAGCGCAGCGCCCTGTGAGGTTTGATGTCCCGTTCGGTTTTATTGGATGTCGCGCCCGACGACAGTTAATCATTAGTCCGCCTACATTCAACGGTTCGCCTTTTTTCGGGTAGTACCCCGCCTGCGCGCGTTCTTTCACATTCCAATGTGTTTCTGATCTATCGCGAACGCATGGTGTCCCGCTTCGCCGAATGATCGACGAGAGGTGGTGCTGCCCCGGGTCCGGCCCACGCGCGAGCCATGGCCTTATCCGTGAGCAGAGATAGTACCGCAGCTTCATCGCCAAGCCAGGATACAGCTTACCAGAGCCTACTCACTGGCCGGACTTAGGCTTGCGGAAAGCCTATCACAGGGTGGGTTGACCAGTAGGCATGCTGCTTACGGAAAGCCTATCACAGGGTGGGTTGACCAGTAGGCCTGATGCAGGCGGACGATCGATTTGCCACCAGCTTGCGGTGGGGCTACCACCGGCTCCACCGTAGGCCTGTGGTAGAAGTGTTGCAGGACGACCTTAGACCTACCGTAGACATGTGGTGGACTGCCGTTGACATACCCAAGGCCTCCTGTAGGACTTCCGTCGGCCTACCGTGGGCCTGCCGTGGCCTTGTTGCTGGCCGACCGTGCTTACCACTAGCCTCCCTGAGGCTTACCATAGAGCTACCACCGGCCTGCTATAGGCCTACCATCGACATCCCATAAGCCTACCAAAGGCCAGCCATATACCTACCGTAGATCTACTGCAGGGCAGCCGTAGGCCCACGATAGGCCGATGCATATATTGTCCACAGGCTTACCACACGGCTACCATCGACCTACCATAGGCCGACCATGGGCCTATGCATAGGCTATGTAATTCGTAGAAGAAGAGAAACACAAGGACAAGTATAGCAGTGACGGACATGTTGGATGATGATGATGAGGAGGAGGAGGAGGAGGAGGAATGGGGGAAATAGTTCGGGGGATGGCAATGAACCGTACGAGGGGCAGGAAATGGAGGAGCAGGAGGAGCATGACCGGGGGAGGTGGGGCAGTTGGAAAAAGAAGATGCGGCGGGGGAGGAAAAGGAGGAGGAGGGTGAGGAAGAGGAGGAAGAGGAGGGAGGGAGGGAGGAAGGGCGAAAAGGAGGGAGGAGAAGGAGGACGAGGAGGGAGGGAGGGAGGGAGGGAGGGAGGGAGGCAGGGCGCCGCGCAGGCGCTGCACATGACGAGAACCGGGCACAAGCTGCTCCTCGCGAAGGGCATCATGGGGTTGCCTTAGGCGGCCGTCGAAGTGCGCCCCTGCGACGAGATGGGGAGGATGAAGGATGGAGGAAGGGAGGGGGGGAGGGGAACGGTGAGCAGGGGGAGTCAAAGGAAAGGCGGAGGGCCGTCGGGAAGGAAGGGAGGTGACGAGGATGGGAGGGGGCAGGGACGAAAGAGAGAGGGATGGTGGAAGGGACGAAAGAGAGAGGGAGGGTC